AGATGGCTATTTAGGGACAAAGCCAATGTAGGACAAAAGGGAGTATTAGCGTAGGACAACAAGAGAGAACCACCCTCCAAACTTTTGAAAAATGTTAAATATAATACATATATGGGAAATGTGCATATTAGTCCTAATTCCCAAAATAAATTGGGGTCCTAACCTTAAAGTAAGTCATTTTATTTAATTAAAACTCAAGTTAAAATTTAAAAATTTATTTTATTAAATGTTAATATTTAGATTTGAAAACTTATTATATTAAAATATATAATTAGTTTCCAAATTTAAATATTAACAGTTAATAAGATGAATTTTTGAATTTTAAATTGGGATTTCGATTTTTAAATGGAAGTCGGGACTCCAATTTTTTTTTTTTTTTTTTTGGAATCAGAATTAATACGCACTAATATCATTTTTATATATTCAAAAATTTTCTTTTGAAATTTGAATTATTGGGACTATTCAAATACAAAGAAAATATTTAAGACTTGAGTAAAAGGATCATTTCTCTTTTCTTACTAATTCTTATAAAAACATGATAATTTTATCTAGATAAGAAAAACATCACACTTACATCAATTATGACATTTTTTTGCTATTGATGAATGAATTGTGTGTGTTATAAAATAAAGGTAAAGGAAGAAACCAATGTAGGACAAAGGGGGTGATTGTGTCATTTTTTCTTGTTAATGGATGGATTATATGTATTATAAAATAAACATAGCTATTAAAGGATGAAGCCAAGGTAAGACTAGGAAGGCAATTGTGTCATTTTTTTTTTTTGTTGATGGATAGATTGTGTGTTATAAAATAAAAGTGGATATTCAAGGACAAAGCTAGTGTAGGACAAGAGAGTGATTGTGACATTTTTTCATGTTTATGGATGGATTGTGTGTGTTCTAAAATAAAAGTGGTGCTTCATGAATAAAGCTAGTGTAAGATAAGTGGGTTACACCAGTGTAGGGCATTGATTATATATAATTCTTTTTATACAATTTATGAAATTATCATGATAAATTTTTACATTGGTTATATATATATATATATTTTAAATTAGAACTTTATAAAATTGAGATTAATATTCACTATTCTATATATATAAGGTTTGAAATGGTGGCTTTTCAACTTGTTATATTTTACTTGGTGTGTAGGTAGAGACATTACTTTTATATCAATTGTGACATTATTTTTCAATTGATGCATAGATTGTATGTGTTATAAAATAAAGGTAACTATATAGGGATGAAGTCAATGTAGGACAAGGGGATAATTATGTCATTTTCTCTTGTTAATGGATGGATTATGTGTGTTATAAAATAAAAGTGACTTTTTAGGTAGGATAAGGGTATGACTATGATATTTTTTCATGTTAATGGATAGATTATGTGTGTTACAAAATAAAGGTAGCTATTTATGGACAAAGCCAATGTAAGACAAAAGAGAGTATTAGTGTAGAGTAACAAGAGGGAACCACCCTCCAAACTTTTGAAAAATGTTAAATATAATACATATATGAGAAATGTGCATATTAGTCCT